ACATCATACAATTTCAAGCAGTTATAGCTTCTACAGGTGGTCCTTAACTTACAACAGTTAATTTAGAGATCGTTCAAAGTTAAACGGCATTGATAAAAGGGACTTATGACCATTTCTCACACTTACGAACTTTGCAGCATCCCCATGATCATGTGATCAAAATTCATATGCTTGGCAACTGACTCATATTTATGCAGTGGCCTGAGGTCAGGTGATCGATCAACTTTTGTGACCTTCTAATAAGCGAAGTCAATGTGGAAGCTAGGTTAACAACTGGGTTACTAACTTATCAACTGCACTGATTCACTGAACAACTGTGGCAAGAAAGGTCATAAAATGGGACAAAATTCACTTAACAAATTTTCACACTTAACCACAGAAATTTTGGACTCAATTGTGTTCGTAAGTCGAGGGCTACCTGTATTACCTACTGGTAGCTTTGAACAGAACGATATCCACGATATATTTTTTATGTGGAATCATGTTCATTATGTACGTACCCTCTCTTTAAATGAGCCACATATGCACTCTGCAGAGCTGCTTCCAGAAAGTAAGGAAGTTCAAAATCCAAGGAAGACATATGACTGCCTTTTATGCTTCTTGTATGTGTATTATTAAAGCTCTGGTAATAAGAGAGAGAGAGAGAGAGAGATGACATATAAATACAAATAATAATGTTGCTTAATGCTTATTCTATTCTTCTTCCAAAAGGTCAGAGAAAAAGACTAATATAAAGGAAATTTGCTTTGAATTACACTTGTTATTTCTGTATAGTTTGGCTTTTTTTGTGTGCTGGCTTCACAAGGATGGCCTTATATTTCCCTCTGTATTTCTGGCAATATACTAAGCAGATATACATAATTTAAGAGTCACAAATTATAATTAAAAAAATAGCTAAAACCATAAATGGTAGCCTACTATAGGATCAATAGCTCCCTCGTTCTATTGTTTAATTGAAACCAAGAAAAAAAAAACACACAGAAAAGTAGTCAAGCCTCCAATTCCTGGGTCCCATAAACTGGATGGATTACAAATCGATGCCTGTCCTTTTATGAGCCCAAAATTAGGGCTGCACAGTGACTTGAAGGGAAAAATATTTTGAAGGGAAAAAAGTGGTTTGGAGTACATGGAGACACTTATTTTTACAGCACCTCTTGGAAACTCCTAAAAGTTGCTGCTTTTTTCCCAAGCATAGCTGTAGTATGAACTCAGGAAAAGATGGAATTGGTTTAAGTCCAAAAGGTTGTTTTTCAGGAGGCAATTGGACTTTGTTTTTTTCTTTGAAGATGTTTGGCTTCTCATCCAAGAAGCTTCTTCAGCTCTGACTGGATGGTGGGTAATGGAAGGATTTATATTCCTTGCAGACAGCTGGTCATCTGCTTCCTCTTGGAGCACAGGTGTCAAACTCGCAGCGTCACATTGCCATCATGTGATGTATCGTGACGTTTTTTCCCTTTGCGGAGCTGGGGTGGGTGTGGCCTGCGTGTGATGCATCCGGCCTGTAGGCCACCAGTTTGACACTCCTGTTTTAGAGGGTCTTTGAAGCACTTGGAGGTTTATCTGTATCCTCAGGGTCACCTGAGTAGTGTAAATGCTTCCTATAGTCTGCAACCATTAGCACTACTCAGGTGACCCTGAGAACACAAACAAACCTCCAATTGGCCTCAATGACTATTTAAAGAATGCAAATGACCAGCTGTCTGCAAGGAATAAAAATCCTTCCATTCCATTGTTAAATCTTGTCATCATTCCTTATCACCCATCCCCTCCCACTTGTGATTGTATGACTGTAACTTTGTCGCTTGTATACTTACGATTTATATTGACTGTTTCCTAGTATGATTGATTGCTTATTGTACCCTATGACCATCATTAAGTGTCGTACCTGATGATTCTCGACTCCTGATGAATGTATCTTTTATGTATACTGAGAGTATTTACACCAAGACAAATTCCTTGTGTGTCCAATCACACTTGGCCAATAAAGTATTCTATTCTATTCTGTCAGAGCTGAAGAAGTTTCTTGGATGAGAAGTGAAACGTCTTCAAAGAAAAAAACAAGAAAGTCCATTTGCCTCCTGAAAAGCACCTTTGGGACAACCGTGACCTGAATGACTGAGAACCTCTATAGACATTTGATTTAAGGCACTGACAGTGGATATTGCATTAGCCCCATGCATAGTCCAAAGCACCTTCAAATCCAAACAACTGAACAGACCTGATAGATTATTCAACAGTCTGTAATCAGATTACCATCTTTACCAGCTAGGCAGCCCAATAACATCTGCAGCAATTTGCAATCTGTGAAGGTGTCAAACTGCGTCAGTTACAATTAAATCTTCCCATCTTCTACATGAAGCTACTGTATTTACATGAGAACGTAAAGATGCACATTTAGTCAACAGCTCCCCATATCAATGTCCCTTTTGTGGATGCACATCAACTTGGTTGATCACAAAAAAGCTAAAAGGATCAAACTCAATGAGATGCTGCTAAATGCAAGAGTTGAATCATCCTAGAAGATTATGGCAATCCCACTTCCATATTGTTGCCAAGAAGATACCATGGATGGACCAGGAATTGAGCATGACTTGAAGACTTTTCTTTACCCAAATGTAAAATAACCTTGAATTTAAGATAGTTGCTGGCCCCAACATACAAAACAAAAGGGGAACTTGGTATGTACCCATTATCAGATTTGTAATTGAGCTAAGATGACCTTCCCATTGTAAAGGTAAATTGATTGTAGGAAAAAAATAATCTTCATTTTCGATAAGTACTGTACAGTAAAGGCATATAATATGGTTTTGCATACATCTGATATAACATGCATTGTTCAAAATCTGGCATTTTCCCTCAGAATCTTACATGTTAATCTGTTGCACCTTAATGATTTTCAAACCTGTGTTCTGAAATTCAATATTAAAAAAGCTGGCAAAATGGGATGCTAAAATATAAAATTATATACAGGGATCTGATTCAAATTCCCATTTAGACAGGTGCATGAAGTCTCGGGCTATTTGGATTTAACCACCTCAGAGTAGTATTACATGAGCAAAAGAAAGCAGCATCTTGAGCACATTGGAGGGAGAGTGGAATAAAACTAAACATCAGGCAGGGTCTCAGGGTATATAATTTAGCACATTTCCTGGCTTTCGTTTAGTGGAGAACAAGTTAAACAGTGATATATAAATCCTTGGGAAATGCTAGCGGAGGGTGGGGGGCTCCTTTGAGCTGACTCTTATTTACCTTCTCCAGTTCTTGCAGGAAAATCTGAGCGATTACACATGCCCTTTCAAAGCAAGTCATGACTTCCTCTTCTCTTTCTGACAGCCGGACTTGGGAAGCAATGGAATTGGGTGAGCGTTCCAGTGCCAGGCCTGTGAAGACAGCAACAGTGTCTCTTCAATGCCATGCTGAAAAGCACCAACCATCAATTATTAGTTCTTACTTTGTGAAACCATCTCCATAGTCTTTTCTACCTAGAGAAGCCTAACATAGCTGGAAGTTGTTTAGTTCAATGAATTTAAATCTGTTATCCCGATCTGTCATAGTGCCTCAGAAATAGTTATCTCCTCAAAGGCCTGTATGGCCTCTGCCCTGACCACGCTGGGGAAAAAAATTGAAAGAAAAAAAAATCCCTCCAGATCTTGAGTTAGGATAAGTGGCAATCCTTCTGTTTTGGTGTTACCTATTAGTTTGAATGGTTTCTCCCCCACCCCCCCAAAGGTACACAATTCTTTCTGTTTTATTGTGGTTCTTTGTTGTTGTTTTTTAATGTTGTACACCTCCTAGAGTTTTCATCAAGTTATGCAGTTGTCTATATATGATACACAAATAAATACAGGTAGCCCTTGACTTATGCTGTAACAGAGTCCAGAATTTCCATGATGGTGTAAGTCTAGGTAATCATGTGACCGGACCTCATTTTATGATGTTTTTGGAGCTGTTGTTAAGCAGATGTGTAGCCATTGAGTGAATGTGGTTGTTGTTAAGTAAATCAATGTATTCCTACAGGCATTTTTTAAAACCAGAAACCAGTTGAAAAGGCCAGAAACTTATAAAAAACCATCATAAATCTAGGTCGCGTGACCACGAAACACCGGGACTGAGTCTGGGTGGTTTACAGCACATACCATTGGAGAGAAGCCGAAATTAAGAGACTCTGCAATCCCAAACTGGAGGAGGGAGGGGGAAGAGATTCAGGACAGCCACACCCCAGAATCTCTTAGGTTGTATTTACTGTAGAGGTTTCAAGGTTGTAGCTGTAGTTTGGCAAAGTTCTGTCCATTAGATGTAAGCAAATAAAGTATTGGACTCAATGGATTTTGTTTTGTGAACTTTGGGATTGGTCTTGACATTCCCAGAGCATAGATTACTTCAGCTTCAGATATATATTAAAAAAAATGGGGGGAGCTTCTAGCTACCATGTAGCTAAATAGACATTTGCATCTATATGAGAAATAGCAATAACACACATATATCGCTTCATAGTGTTTTACAGCCCTTTCTAAGTGGTTTAAAGTCAGCCTATTGCCCCCAACAATCTGGGTCCTCATTTTACCGACCTTGGAAGGATGGAAGGCTGAGTCAACCTTGAGCCAGTGATAGGGATATGCAAGGATATTTTTGAAATCAAAAAGGGATGGTGAGCAAGGTTTTCAGTTTACTAATAGAATTGCAGCAAGAAGCTAAGCATGTATACCGTAAAACTCTCTATTTCTCCTAGTTTTGCAGAAACAAATATTTTAAAAAGCTCTTTACAGTCCCTTTGTTTCCAGAATGCTACATATATACATAAACACACACACAAAGAATCATTTAGTTATAAAGACTTTGGAGGTCTTTTAATCCAACACTTTCTTGAGGATAAGAATCCTCAGGCTATCCCAGACAAATGAGTTTTAGGGTTGTTGCTGTTTTAAAAAATAAATTATATCCTTCCAATATTGTATTTCAATTACGAATTCCATCTCCCTAGGTTTCAATCACACCAATAATGTCATATTCCACCATCCCACTCCATGCATATTAGGATTTCAAGTTCTGGTTTGTTCTTCATATTCTGTGAATAAGCCACTAAGCCATTTAGTATCGCCCTTCTTAAGTTTGCCTGTTGCACCTCCCATTGTGTAGTATTTCTGAGCACTCCTTACTTCTTATCACCTGCTTCCTTGTAAGATTTAATGCCTTTGGCTTTATGCTTGCATGTGGTTCTGGACATCCCTTCTTCCCCTTCAGATGTGTAGCTGAAAGCCCACCAGATATTGATGGCATTATATATTCATTAAATTGCATGTTGAATTATATTACATTGAATATAGTGAATATATTTATTATATCCAATATAGCATTCATTCATCCTAATAATTCAAAGCAGCTTCTTGTGTAAGTATATGTGTGGGGTCTGGTTACTGTCCATAAAGTATTGTAGATAAATATAGATTCAAATACTTAAGAACGGGACAGACTCAGTTTCACAAATAAGGCCAATTCTAATACCATCTTGACTTACCCTCTGGAAAAAAAATACTGTGGGGGTAAGACAACCCTTAAAATGCCTTAAAATGGCTTCTACAGTACAGTACAGTGGAGTTGCCATGGTAATGGCTTCATAGTACTCCACAAGGGGGCTCCTTCTGACTTGTGACACTGCGCGAGGGAGCTACTACATCTAGAACGTTAGAGACAGTACAACAGTATGAGGCCCAACTAAAGAATAAGAGAGATAGACCTACTGCATCTAGAACTTCACAGACAGTGTGAGTCCTGACTACAGGATTTTCCTGTCTAATACAGGATTGGGATAAATAAATACCTGGGCAATGCCGGGTTATTAGCTACTTATAGATAAAACTGAGCTTCAGAGTTTAAACGGTCTTATTCAGATATAGCAATTTCCTGAGTTCCTTCTCTCTGTTCCTAATTATTTTGTGCTTAGCTACCTTATACTGTACTCCATGCCCCAGGTTTTTTTTTTCAACATGCCTACAGAGTCAGCCTGGAAAGGGGAACTGAATGTACAGAGGAGAATGGAAAAGCCCTTCCATTTATTACTGCTAATCTTACAAGATCTGAACTTTGCCTGTTGATGCAGTCATAAATTCAACTATTAAAATATTTCTCTCTGTGTCTGTCTCTCCCTGTATCTCCCCACCCCCAATATTGGAGGTGAAAATCCTGGCAAAAGCAGTCCATTAAAAGCTGTACCAAACAAAAGAATGGACAATCTGCTGCCGTCCAGATCAAGCTGTTACCCATAAATTCTCGTCAGCATTTCTTTTGGAAATTCAACACATTTTAAGTGAACTCCAACACTTTATACTATAGTGCTGTGGTGGTGAACTTTTTCGGCACTGAGTGCCGAAACGGTAGCGTGGGGGCGGAAGAGCAGCTCCCTGGCCACCTGGTCTTCCAATTTCTAACGCACATGCGTGCAAAGAGCAACTGGCTGGCACACACATGCACACTGGAAGCTGCTCTTCCGGTTTCCAGCGTTCCTGTGCGTGCAAAGTGCAGCTGGCCGGCACACACATGTGCGCCAGGGAGCTGCTCTTCTGGTTTCCGGTGCTCCTGCACGTGTAAACACTAGCTGGTCTTTGCGCATGTGCGCGCCGAACCTGGAAGAGCAATGAGGACGGCTGACATGCCTGGAGAGGTGGCTCTGCGTGCCACTTCCAGCATGCGTGCCATAGGTTCGCCATCACAGCTGTAGTGGAAAAAGGTAAAGACGTATACAAAGAAGTATACAGCACTTTATACTCCAATGGAAAAAAGTACAGATGAAAAGTTTTATTCTGGCCCATGCACCATGTTCTGGCCCATATACCATGCACTACAAAATCACTTGGAATCTTTTCATTATGCAGATTCATTATAACTTTTGTTTCTTCCATCCACACATAAATTTATCCAATAATAATACTCAGGAGTATAAGTACAGAGGAACAGCTTGCTGAAAGATCCCAAATTCTCAACAGCACTAACAGAACTGAGCACACATTCTGGAATGAAATATTAAGCAAAGTGCTATGAGTACCATACCAACAACTATTGCTGTTCTTATCACCAGACTATGGTGTCAACCTTTTTATACTGATTTAATAAACTTGCAGGGGATTCTGGCTGATCAATTAGTGGGGTTACAAGGCGAATGAGAAGAAGGCAATTGAGTTAATCTGCATAGTGGATTTCTCCCAAATGTCATGCAGAGGGGTTTTTGTTCAGGAAATCAATACTCCTATGAAGAAAACTGTGATAGTTTGACCATTGGAGTTTAGGAGGGATATAGGATGAAGGCGTAAGGAGTGCCTGGAGTTCCTCATCCCAGGGGAGAGACCGGTGCCTACTTTTCCCACCAAGAAGTAACAATAGGTTCAAGCGGAAAGGAACCTGAGATATCTACCAATCACTGCCCTTGACGCTGCCCCACGTTGAATTTATAAGGTCAGTTTCTCATTGCTGACGCGCAATAAAACTTGGTCAGTGCAATGTACACCAATATATTTTTCTGTCAACTCAAGGATGGGAGAAAAGCATATTACTCAGCTGTGAGGAAATGTTTTTGTTCCTGGTGGAATTATGCTTAGTATTCTTAAGGATTGCATTCGATTGAGAGAAATTGATCTAGGGTCTATGTTCTAGTGTCAAGTAAGAAGAGATTGGCTTGGAGAGACTGCATGAAATTAGACAAAAGCCTGCATTCCCATTCTATAAAGTGCTACAGGCTGGCTTAAGGAACCAAATCTTTAATAACAACTTGTAGCACCTGTGCCTCCCCCAAGAGATCAAGTATATTTTTCCACTGCTTACTTGCTATTGTGGTCAAAAGATAGCACTCCTTCAGAAGTATTACAGGGTCTAATCAAGACAGCCAAACAAACTCAGTCTAAAAACTGCTATTTTGAATAAAAACCAAGTCCTAGTTGACAGTTTTAAGTCTTAAGACAGGGGTGGGCAGCTCCAGGGCCACATGTGGCTCCCAAGCATCCAGAGTTCCCTTGATTTGATTATATTGTGAGTTTTTGTTTTATTTTATCGTTTTGCTTATTTTCGGATAAGGGGTTTAAAAGAATAACAGATGCCCTAAGATTTGCAGAGGGTTAAGTACTTCTTTCATTCATTAAAAAGGAAGAAAAAAAATTCTTTTCCTCCAAAATCACAACTTCCTCCCACTTGAGTTCTAAGAGGCAACATGCGTGGTTCACACTTCACAAATCTTAAGGTATCTGTTTTACTTCAAAACCATGTAAAAAGCAGATTGAAACATTTAGCCACCCCCAGTCCAGTGACATCATAACCCACCCCAGCTATGCTTTCTGCAGAGGCAAACAAATATTAAAGCAGGGCCTTGACTTTGCACATTCATAGTCAAGGCTAGGGCTTCAGTCGCTCTTTGGTGTCTTCAAAAGAGTGACCTTTGCATCTGCAAGACAAAAGTCACTCTTTGGAAAATAGCAAAGTCTACATTTTGGACAGGCAGGGGACCACTCTGACCTAAGAGTACAGATAAATCCCTAAGTGGTCTCAACGGCCTCAACAACTCTCAGAGAGTTAATGACTAACTTTCAGAGCACTAACAACCAGATGCCTGCTTAGAAATATAAATCCTTCCATTCCCCACCTTTACCAATGCGCAGAAATGATTAGATTAACTATGATATTAAAAAAACAAGGAAGAGGGAGAATTTTTTACAACATGGAATACATGGTACAAATGGTTAAATGAGAAGGAAATAAAGATGTATAGTGAAAATGATTAAATAAATATTATGGAACAACAGAAATAAGGACAAATGTATAGCTATATATATATATGTGTGTATGGTATAACTATGTATATAGGTGTAGTAGTGTAGTAACATAGAAAAACAATGTATCAAGATGTATTAATAACATAGATAAATAAGAAATTTAGGAATTAGATTTAAGATATCTTTGTAGTAAATGATTTCAATTAACACGAATAGAGATGTACACTGTTATGAAAACACTGTAAAATGTGAGAAAGTGATTCTCTTTTTAAAATATTTTTTTTCTTGAATAAATATTTTTTTTAAAAAAAAGAAATATAAATCCTTCCATTCCCCATCTTTCAGCCAGAATTGAAAAAGCTTCTTGGATAAGAAATGAAATGTTTCCAAAGGGGGAAAAAATCCAGTTGCCTTTTGAAAAGTACTTTGGTGCAATTGATTGGGTTCAAAGCCATGAGCTCATAAAACACAGCTTACTAAACCATTATGGTTGGATTCATGCAACACTCTCAGACCAAAACCAAGCGCTTATGATTTAACCTCTATCTGGTTTTGTGGTATATATCAAAATCAACAAAGCTTTCAGGAAAAATGTCAAAATTGGTATATACACACTGGCAAATATTTAGTGGATTTGCACAGAACAAGTAAATATTAGAGTCACTTAAATGAGTTGCTCACCCATTGGCTGATAGTCTCTTCATTCTCATATTGCTCCCTTGAAAGTGGTTTGCTCATATTTTACTAACAGATACTTTTTTTAGGATCATATAGGTCAGATGCATGTTACATTTGTAATTTCTGGGAATTTTAGTAGGGAACCATAGAGGACGCATAGCAGTCAATACATACCCAAATACACCTAAGCAATGATAATTCTTTTTCAGAATCACAGATAATGTGTTAACTGAACCCGATCAATGACGTTTTAAATGATTAGACAGCATGTTATGATTTTAAGCTGAATATAACAAAATGCTTTTTATAAGCAGGAAAGGCCTATTTAAATTAAATAATTAAGTGAACTAGGATCCTTCACAGGCTACCTGATATCCACAAAAGCAAAAGGTGGACTGGTAGGCTAGCAAAAATTCTTGTGAATTAGGAACTTTTCATGGTAGCAAATAAAATCATAATAAAATATACACTCTGTAAGTAAGGTATATCAAAGTTTTAATGGTTTCTTGTTATTAACTGGAGAATATCATTTCTAAATATTTAAGCCGTTCTAATCCAATAGCTATAACCATTCACACATAAGTATCAATAACGCATTCCGCAAAGCCAATAGAATAGCAGAGACATTCTAAGCTGTGGCCCCTTGGGGGAAACAGGAAGCAAAGGTCAGCGTGATGCCTGAGGTTCAAAAAGTTCATTGCAATACTAATATGGTGTTTTAACTTTGATTTTTACATACCAGTTGAAGGTATCTGATCATTCCAGCCCTCTATTCACCTAATAAGTGGATTGGTATGCTGAAAAGGTTAGAAGAGGATAGGCAGAGAGCAACTACTTCAGCAGCAGTCATAAACAGCACTGAAAGGAAACAGAAGATGAAGAATGCAAGCAGAGACATTTTTCCAGGTTTCCCAGAAAAACAGCTGAATCATAAACCCTTTGATAACTTCCCTCTCTTCCAAACATAGAATAAAAAGACACATACAGAAGAGATTATTATTATTATTATTATTATTATTGTTGTACAATGGTTGAAAATGCAGCAAGGAGAAACGTAAGTATACTACAAAGGAAAGAAGAACCCAATATTGTCAGTTTGATAAGCACTAAAAAGCTGTAGAAAAGAGCCAATAGATCTGCCAATAGAGTGGGTCTTAAAACTGACCCAGTAACCCTTTTTTCCTCTGTCTTAAAAATTGTCATTATCCCCACAAAAGAAACCAGACTTTGTTGTTTTGCACAAACATCAGTCTCAAACTGGATCCACGACCTGAAACAAGAAATCACTTCAGTATCCCCAGGTTGTGCCCAAATTATCCCCTTGGGCATCCCTAGTTTAAGAACCACTGCTTCCTTACAAGCACAGTGTTACTTAAGTTTGGGTGGAAGCAGGCATCTTGTTTAAGATATTTATTCCTGGTTCATGTCATCAAAGACAATACTCTTTGACTTTTTCAGATCCTTCACCTAAATCTGTTACATTCACCTGAATCTGTTATATACAACTGAGCTGATTTTTTTTCAAATATTGTCCTTCCTCGTCCACCTTTACTCATTTTTTCTGTCTTTTTCATAGCTCATCTGCAATTAATACAACCTTGTTTAATAGTCATTTACTCTTCCAAAGACCAAAGAGTTGGGTAGAGCACCATTTCTCCCGCTTGACAAATTTAAGGTACATGGACTTCAACTGACAGAATTCCTTAGCCAGCATGATATTCCATGTTCAGAGCAGAAAAACGATGACATTTTAAGAAACAAATCTGCAGTACTGTATTTTAATGCTGGCATGCTCTCCTGACTATTTTTCTACTTTTTTAAAAAAGCAAAATATTCTAGTGCTACTGATTTTCCTTGTTAATTTCAACCTATTACCGAAGATCAAAGAAACTGAAGAAATATGCAGAATGTTGTTTTCTTGTTTTACAAATAAAAACAATTGATATCTATGGGATTAATTAAAAAATCAATATTTTAGCCAGGCATAGGTCTTATGTATGAATTAGAATCTTGTTTATGATATTCCATAGCTTATCAGCTTTTCTAAATTTAAACTCAGTGCAACTTCAATTAAATAAAATAAAATGTTTGAAGGATAAAATAAATAAGATTTATATGAGTTGATTTTCTACAGCATCATCACAGTGAAATCAGAAATCAGTGACCATAGATAATTCCAATTACCTTTAATAACAAAAGCTTCGGTTAGCAGACGCAGCTTGTATAAAGGTTTCTTCTCTATTACAAGGTCTTCGAGGCCGGCTCTTGCATACATGCTTAAAGTTTCTCGGTAACATCCTTCAATATAATGAAGCTTTGCGAGAAGCAACATTGCTTCTGTCATATCTTTTGGCTAGAAAATTAAAATGTTCATTAGTAATATAATAAAGCTATAGTTAAACAATATTTGTTTTGGAAATATTTCCTTGTTCAACATCACATGGAATCAAGCATTTTGTTAACAAAACCTTTGTGAGTTTTGAGGTATAGGGTGAAATATAATGAGTGCACATCCCTTAGTTAATTTGAAAAAAATATAGAGGTTGGACCTTCATTGTCTACTGAAATTAATAAGGCAGCTCTTAAGAACAGGAACATTCTGTTGTTACAACAAAGGACCCACATGCTTTGCTGTTATATATCAATGAATGGAGCCATCTGATTTTCTTCCATAAACCTCCAAGAACACTTATGCTATATGAAGTGGAAGTTTACTAGTGTACTTTGACTGCAGTTTCAAAATTACTGAAAATTTTATGTATGTATGTATGTATGTATGTATGTATGTAAGAGATTTGGAAGTTTGCCTCAGAGCATGAAAGTCAGCGCATGGGTAACCTAGCAATAATAACTACTTTGCTAGTCATTTAATTTAAGTATAAATTAATTCCAGGTGGAAATAAAATGGAAAAGTTGGCAGATTTTATTTTCATAGTTATGCTGGATCAAATGAATTAGTAACTTATTTCCATACTGGTATCCTCAACTTCCAACAGTTCATTTAGTGACTGTTCAAAGTTACAACACACTGAAAAAAGTGACTTTTCACACTTACGACTGTTGCAACATGCCCAGTCACGTGATCAAAATGCAGGTGCTTGGCAACTGACTCACATTTATGATGGTTGTAGTATCCCAAGGTCACATGATCACCTTTTGCAAACTTCTGACAAGCAAAGTAAATGGGGAAGCCAGATTCACTTAACTGCATTACTAACTTAACAACTGCAGTGATTCATTAAACTGTGGCAAGAAAGTTCGTAAAATGGAGTAAAATTCACTTAACAACTGTCTCACTTAGCAAAAGAAATTTTGGGCCCATTTATGGTCGTAAGTCGAGGATTATCTGCATGAGAAATGTGAAATATTTTATCAAGCTTTCCTCATTTTTGTATATAATACTGGTACAAATTAGTAACTTTCCCAATTTGCTACGAAGACTCACATTAATGAATTAATGCAGATTTTAATACAGTCGGGACTGTGCCAGAGACACAAAATCCCACCATGCTGAATTAAATCTATGACTTCCAAATAACTAACCCATGTGGAAATGTTGAAGTAGCAGGCCAAAGAAAGGGTCTCTTGGTAGCTTTTGTAACAATAAAGCATACAGTTAGATTGCTTCAGTCATCATGGTGTCTCATTGTTTTGTTTTTTTAAAAAGAAAGCCTCGTGTATCATTAAGAACTGCTAAAAGAGATCTATAGACACATAAGTGGATCTGCAATAAAACATTGGTGTCACTGTTAGAGCCAGAAAAAGGATGTAGTTGTTTTAATGAGTCAATTGCTTTGATTTACTAAAATAGCTACATCTTTTTTCTAGGCTCACACAGAATCCTGAGAAAAGATACAAGAGGTGCTGTGCTCACATTATCACACATTCCAGAGCACCCTCTCAAAGTTATGTTCAGAAGTCTTAGTAGCTTTAATTTGGGAACCTAGGACTCATGTCACTCATGCCTTTCACCAGGACACTGTATTCTATTCCCCACCACTCCATCCCCCATTATTTCTCTTCCACCAAGTCAGCAATTTTTCATGGCCTTTGTTTATGTTTGGTCCTCAATGGCCACCCTTGACAACGGTGTCCATAAATTTTGTCTATACTTTTGCAGACCCTCAAAATCTGCTAATGCCTTCATTTCTTCATGTGGATGATGCCATTCTAGAAGGGCTGGTTCTTGGAGAACAGGATTGCCTCTTAATTTATACAGTGCTGGAAGTTTAATTTAGTAAATCGTAACAAATCCCAACATTGTTTTGAATAAAAACTGCTGCAGAAAGAAAGCAATTATTTCAGATTTTTATAAATGCATCAGGAATGGTATGGAGGGGGCAGGTGAGATTAAAGGTTCCAACATTTTGTTATCTAGACCATTTGATTGTACAACATTAGCAGTGTTTGTAATGTTCTTTTTTATTTCTGTCTAGAATACCTACCAGTAATTTCCCTCGATTTAGAATGTCAGTCAAAAACTTTTTGGCATCACTCAGTTTGGGCTCAGTTTTTTCCATTAATGGCATGGTTTCTTTGATTTTGGCAAGGTTCTCTTTTAAGCACAGCTCCAGCAGTGCCTCCGCAGCTAGTAGATTCTCATAGTCTTCTGCAAGACATAGTCAATGGAATAAAAAATTACACACTGTGTTATGTTCCCATATATAGTAGGACAGAAATCTAAACATAGAATTTTAACCATTATATAAACATTTCCTTGCATAAGGAAGTTTGCCCAGAGTGCAAAAATTGTTTATGTAATAGGAATCTAACTTACGTGTTATCTATACATACATAGACATTTCTTAGAAACTTTCTTATTTAGATATATTAATGAATGTCCTGTGTCATGTATTCTACTTCAGATTTGTAAATACAAACTCTTTAGAGAAATAAACACCAATTTGTTCTGCTGGCTTATTTAAAGAAATGGATAGAATTTGATTCAGTCATGAAAACTTTATGGGAAATAAAATCATAATTATTTATATAAATGTCTTGTTACTGTGTTCTAGAAATCTAATCAATGACATGTTATAAATAATTCCAAATTTTGCTGCAGGCCTCGGTATACTTACATAGTAAATAATAACTGAACACAAGGGGATTTACTTGTCAATATATATGGTACATAAAACGGTACTCTAACTTAATCAGGGACTGGATCAAAAATCCATGGAAACAATGTGACTTTCTATCCCTCTCCTCCCCCAAACTCTCATCTTCCAAACTAACAATCTATTCCAGAAAGTATTAAGCAAATAAATTTTGAGACGCATAATTGCCGTGTGCCAGTCAAATCAAGATTAAACTATTAATTTATCTCAATAGACTGCAACTATTAATTCCTGTGGTCTTTAATTTCATATGTCTGTCATATCCTGTTTGCCCATGGGGTCCTCTGACAGATAAAATAATGATATACTGTAATGGCAGACGATAAAACTAAAAGATAAAATGTGAACAAAACATTCAAGCCATAAATAGCAGCTAATCATACATATGATTTAAGTTCAAAAACAGCATCGACCAGGGGTGTGCAGGGGGAATATCAAAAGATCAAGAGGATGACTGGCACTGTATAATTGATGCTCTTCTTTTTAAACACATTTTTTTTAAAAAAAACTATATGGTTAATATTGTACAGCAATTCAATGTTGAGTATGTCTTGTTGCAACCAGTTATCTGAGCAGAATCGCACTGAAAAAAAGTGCAAATTATTTCTCAACAAAAATAGGGAAAATTTTACTCTTAGGCTCTTATCTGGAGTGCTGCTTTGCCTCAGATTTTATAAGAGCAACTGAGTTGAATATAATGTAAGCATGCAGAAAATTTGATCTATTACTGAAAAGGACAACAAAGCTTTAATCATGTGATTATATGCGCTTAAACTCCATTAAATATCACAGAAGTGTTTTACTGTATTATTTTGACTCTCTAAACAAAGCTTTCTCATATTTAAAAAAAACTATTTGATGTTGCTTTTTCTTTTCTTTCTAGTTATTTTGTCTCTCATCACTCCTACTCACTACTGTCATACTTTCTTTTCCCTGGAACAATTGCATATGCAAAACTGATTGAGGAAAACATACATGCTGACAGTGCAACAAGCATGCATTTATGCTTTTGGGTGGAGTCCACAAGTTAACTTGAAATTAGTGACACAGCCCCTCTACAAGACACAAAATGGCTGTGGTTTGAGGCAAAGGTTTCAAGGGGGGAGGGAAATCTAAACTGCTGGTGAGTACAGTCTTCCTTCTATGTTTCACAGACAGTTTTATTTTCTACTGAAAGGCTTCTAATTAAATTGAAACTATATTTTACTTAGCCTCTATCAACATCTTGCTCCATTTCCCCCCCCCAAAAAAATGCTGCTGAAGTTCTCCAAGCCAACACGCGTTTGAAAAAGTGAGCCACAAGTCTCATGATCTTCAGCCAGCCTTTGTTGTAATTGAACAATGTAAATACCATCAGATGTGAAGAGGCTTCTCCTAATCTACAGGATAGGCCCCTAAGAGATGGCAAGGCATGCCAGTCAGCCTTGATCATTTGGGCATCTTTAACCCTGGTCTCATCGGGTAACGGGGCAACCTTTTTTAGAAGTAGAGAAACCCTTCTTGCATTTTGCCCCTTCCACACTTATTGTAGCCAAAGAGGTCTTAGTTGCCTTAATTATTTTATTTATTTATTCACATTTTTCACAGCCACCCAACTCTAAGGGATTCAGTGCTTCCAAAGCCAGTCATGATGGCTGGCACAGACATAAAGAGCAGCCTGTTCTCAGAAGTCTTTCTTTTTGCCTTTTCCTGATGCTCATTCTGAGAGGCTGCTTTATCCTTCCAAAGGAGAGCGGATGGTCAGGCCTCACAGAATCGGGCCAGCTGCTCAATAAGGTCACCTCTGCGGGCAGCGGGTCAGGAGAAAGGAGGAGGGAGCATTACTGCTCCGCCAGTGGGCTCCTTGGTGTATCTTTCGGTGTGTCAGAATAAGACTGCTACTTCCGTCCTAAAACTACGCACAGTCATCTTCTGCATATTAATTCGGAAAGAAAGCGCTTGTGAATTATTCCCAAGGAGAGTAAAATTCACTGGGTTCAACTAAACATCTCTGGGGAGCGCGCTGATTATATTTCCCTTGAAGACAAGGTCACCTGATTCTCAATAAGGAGCATTTGAGTGTGGTAGAGCAGCCTCCTTCAAGAGCACTGGGCAAAGCCGAGAAAGAGGAAGAGGCAGCCGAGGGAGGCAAATTAGAGTAAAACCGGTACTGGGTGCGGTGGAAGGTGCATTGCCAAGCCTTGGTCCATACCATTCAGAGTTTCTACAAACAAGCCATCGCTAAGCCCCAGGCATGATTTCAAAAGTTGCCGGGTAGAGAGAGGCTGGGGTGAGGGACTAACATGCCAACCAGCTTCTCCTCCCTCTCGTCAAATAAACTGAATCTACATAATTCTATCTACCCCTCCCCCTCCCCCCCCCAAAAGGCGACGGGACGCTAAGAGACAAACCAACACACACGCGCGCGCCCGCGCGCAGATTCGTCGCTCCACCGGAGCCAGCCTGTTAAGGATGCGGCTGAGGGAACCCCAGCCCCAGGGGTTTACGAAAAGAGCGGCTGGGTTCGACGGACCCGCCGGATCAGGCAGCCCAACCAGTTGTTGGCCGCGTGTGAATCTGTCGGAAGGCGCGCCGAGCCAGCTCGTGTGAAGAGTTTATGGTCCGTGGCATTGTGCGAACCCAGCCCTTTCAGCTGAGCAAGAAGACCTTGGCTTAAGGGAATTGGGGACAGGAGAGCCGGCAGCAGGGCAGGGCAGGAAGGGGCGAGCGGCAGACCCTTACAAGGACAGGCGGGCGGCGGGCGGGCAGCCGCTTCCATTTTTTTACGGAAGAGCAGCCGGTCATTGGGGAATCCCAACAGTGCCTTACCAGATTTTTGCGGCGCAGCTCCTTTTGACCCCTTGTGCCGAGGGCTGGATGCCCGCGCCCTCATCTGCGCCACCATGGCGAGCTGCATCTCCCACTGGCAATCCGTCCTGCACCTCTCGATCGCCTCTTCCATTTTCAGGTGAAAATGCGAGCCTTTCGCAGCCATCTTTGCGTGGGTGGGTGTTTCATGTACAACAGGGAAGTCCTGGGCAGGCAGGCAAGCAAGCAGCAGCGCGCCTCGGGAAGCGCCGGGTTCCCCTCCCCTCCCTTCCCCTCCCCTAGCATGAGCAAGCTTTCAATTTCTCTTGTACACGCTGGGAAGGGAAGCCCGGGTTTCTTCAACCTCTTGGTGCAAAAAAAAACCAAAAAAAAAAAAAAACCCAAACCCTTTGGTATTAGTTAGGAGGGGACCAGTCACCAATTGGCTCAGGCATTCCGACGGAAAATAATTGGCGACGTTTGGAAAACACGCTGGACTGAAGGAACAAAAGCGGGAAAGTGGAGCTGCAGTAGAAGCGACTTCAACGACCTATTTCGGAAGCACGCCGCTTGTTTACTGCTAGTCCCTAATTGGCAGGCCCCTACTACACAAGTCCGGATCAGTAGTTAAAGGAAATCGTTATTTTCCCTCTATTCACTTTCCAGATAAGTACTAGGCACTTTGAGTACTAGGCATGGTCTGGAAGGGTTAGAGAGAAGTACAGTTGCCAGGGAAGGATTTCAGAAGGGCTTCCTTTGCTCTTTGCTCTGTGTCCTTGGGTCTTATTCTTCCCAAAAATATTTTCTACACCTCCAACTTCTTTTTCTTTTGGCTCTGCTTGATATGTCAGAGATCAACCTTAGGGACTTTGTCCTAAGACTCTATGCTTCAAAATGACACAATAATGTTTTTTAAAGATTTTTTTTTTAATTCCACTATTATTTTTTATGAATAATTCATGGCAAGAAACATACCTAATTCATTTTCCTCCTCTCATTTTCCACACAACCACAACCCTGTGAGGTGGATTGGCCTGAGAGAGTATGACTGATCCAGCCGCCTTTCATGCCTAAGGTGGAAGTAGAATTTCACACTTCCTTGGTTTCCAGCCTGGTGCTTTAACCACTAAAGGATACAGGCTCTAGTGTTTGTTAACTTAGGTTTAGCATGTTATATACTTTAGCCAATAGGTATGTGTGTCAGGATTTACAGTTATGGGAGTTTAAAATTAAGTTTACAGATGTTTCTTTTGAAGGAGAAATGGGGCCTCATTTGCTTAAAGGAGTTGTGAAATATGAAACATTCCATCTGGAAGGTATATTCCATTTGATTTAATGGCTATCTTCTACATTCGGTCCTATATAATCCATTTTAAGAATACTTTTTTTAAAAAAACAAATTTTATTAATTTTTAAGAGACAATACATAAACAAACTAAACGTAGAATGTAATAACATAAGACATCTTTTCTGAAAAAAACCAATAAAACATCTTATTTAAAGACAGAATAATTCCAAATTATCACATTTCCATACAAACACAATTTGATATATATATTTATCTTATCTATTCAACTTCATATCTTATCCCAACTTCTCTTTATTTCTCCTTTTCCTTCTACTATTCAATTAAATTTATTTTGCCTTAGATTATATATATTCTTTATATCCATCTGTCTTATTTACAATTTCATTATTCTCTTCCAATGTTCTTCTTACATTCTTCTAAAATTTAATTAATTCAAACATAGACAAACAAAACACAAAACATAGATACATAAAACTTCTTTTTGGAAAGCGGCTTACCCCGGGTTACCTCTTTTTGTACAGACATAAATCAAATTCATGCTCACTTAATATACTATTTCATATCTTATTTAACATTCTGTATTTTCTATATATTTTCTCTCCTCTATCCATTCTCTTAATTCTGTTTATATTTATTTCATCTCAATTTAAATGATTATACTTGTATCCTTTGTCCGTTCTCTTTCAATCATCTATTTATCTTTTCTTTCTAATACAATATTTCTCCTGTGATCACTGGTTGAAGCATGACAACTTTCTATCTTTCCCCTAAATTTAACACTTGAAATAATACATACTTTCCACACTGATTTTGCTTAGTACATTCTAAATACTACATTTTAGAATAATAAGACAAAAATAGAAAAGGAATTGAGTTTATAATATAATAAAAACAATATTCCATAAAATATTAAACTCTATTATTAACTCTCATACATTCCCTTTAATGCATTATTAACTCATATAATAGTTCAATTTTCTAACTCAATTTCAAATACTAATATCTACAATACAATCTTATGTACTTTTGCAAAATCATATATATTTTTTAATAACTTTTAACCTTTATCTCTGAAAAAAATCTGTTTTTTAGCATCTTGTTTTAAACCTTTATGACTTCTCTTTCCTTTTCCCCTTCCTTTCTTATCAATTCTAATCTTTTTGCCCCCTCCCCCATCTCTCAAATTCCACTCTCTTAATCTTCTCTCTCTGTTGTGTTTCTCTTTTCTGTTGCTTTGTGACATTATATCGATTTTTCATCTTATTTTTCCCTTTCTTGGTTGCTTTTTTAAATTCTGAATTCTCCATTTTCACTCCCCCCTTTTCCTTTTCCTCAACTATAATTTTTTGTCCATTAAAGATGGCTCTTTCTTCTTCATCCCAGTCCTTTTGTTGTTGTATTTCATGGTAGGTAAAAATTGCCATTTCCAAAAGGTGAAAAATAGATCCAGAAGAGCCCTTGCCTTCTTGCTCCTCTTCTTGTAACTTTTGATGTTCCATTTGTAGTTCTTCCACAGATAGTGCCATTTTCTATTATTTTTTGTTTTAAAACAACCCAGATGTTTTAAGTCTTTCAAAAAATAATTGCCCAAAGATCCCAAAGTCCCAAAGCAGTCCAAATCAGAACAAACTGTTTCATTAACACTTTCTTCTTCTTTTTTAATTTCTCTTCCTGGGGTAAAGTTCAGTTACAATTTCAAAATGATTTTTTGGAAGCCTTATTGCCACTTATTTCTAAGTCTTATAAATTCCAAGCAGTCTTCTTCAATGAAATCTTAGAATAAGTTTTTTTACCTCTTCCTTCCCACTTATAGCAATAAAGTTTAATTTTAAATTCCACTGTTCCAAAATCTTTTATCCCCTTGGCTTTAATTTTTAGGTTTATTTACCTTCTATGCCCAAGCAGGTTTTTAGATTTCTATCAGCTATTTCCGTAGGGAAGGAGAGTGAAAAAAAATAACTTTCCCTTTCAAAACTTTCTTCCGCCGCTTGCAATCTCTCTGGGAAACAATGTAGCAGTCAAAAAATCAAATTTCCAGGTTTTTAAAGGTTCCTCGTCGTCCCAGTTCAGCCAAAGGAAAACTTTCACTTTCTTCCTCCTGCACAATCTTGTCCAGCTGCCGGCTTCTTTGTGGCAGCCATTGCTGACCGCCGCTCCACCACCTTGGGAAAAGGGGGGTTAGCCGGCTGGGGAGGGGGTCTGCGACACCCCCAAACCCCTGTCCGGATCCCCCCTATCTTCAGCTGCCTCTACGGGGCAGATATATCCTCCAAATCCATCTGGATCGGAGGCACCAAGGCAGCGAGTGCAGCAGGAACCGCGCGGAATCGCGGATCCCTGCCACCGCTGAAGCCTGGCAAACCGGAAGTCCATTTTAAGAATACTTTTGACATGTAAAATTGGCTTTAATTTAACACATGGGGTTTTTAAATAGTACAAATTATCAGTTTGTGCTGTTGATAATCAGATCCTAGATTATCATAGATCCTAGCTAGCATGAATCAAAATGAAATTTAACCCCCCCCCCCCCCCCCCAAGCATTAAAGAAAATAATTGTTTGAAACTGTTAAGGCATGGCCAAATAATAACTTGATTAGATTTCAAGGTGCTGGTTTTCATCTTTAAAGCTCTTCATGGCTTGGAATCAGGTTATCTGAGGGATCACGTCTTGCCGGTCACATCTACCTGACCCACCAGAGTGGGGAGGCAAGGAATGTTGCGGGTCCCATCCCCTAGGGAGATGCACCCGGTAGGACCCAGAAGGGCCTTCTCCATGGTGGCTCCCTCTCTGTATGGAACATCATTCCCCCCCCCCCAGATTAGAATGGCCCCCACTCTAACACTCTTTCGGAAGGCTCTGAAGACCTGGTTCTGTCAGCAGGCCTGGGGAACGCAGAGTTGGATGGAGCCCATTAAATGGCTCATCACTGGGGTGGGGGGTTATTTTATTATTTTATTAATTTATTATATGGTTCTCTTTTATTAGTTTTATTGTTTTTTATATGAGGTTTTTATATTCTTGTAAGCTGTCTTGAGTCGCCATGTGCAAATAAGCAGCACTAAATAAATTTCCTAAAGTAAATAAATTTGGAAGAGGCTGCAATGAATCTTTTGACTCCTGTTGACTACATGAATGAAATTTGCCTTGAAACAATGTGCAAATTGTTTTCTTTGGTGATATCTTTTTAATTTCCCAATCTAGTCTATAGATCTGGATTTCTTTGTGACCAAGTACTAACAAAGAACCAATTTGGTGTATTGCAGTGGCTGAAGAATCAGGCCAGAACTGGGATATTATGAATTCTAGTCCCACCTTAAGAACAAAGTTAACTGGGTGACTTTGGGCCAGTCGCTCTCTCTCTCTCAGCGTAGGAAGGAGGCAATAGGCCATTTGTGAAATATTGCCAATAAAACTAAATAGACTTGTGTAGGCTTTTGCCAGGAGTCAACATTGACTCAAAGGCACAAGATAAATATATAAATACTAACCTGATCTTACTCCACTTAACCTTTTATTTGAAAATTCAACCAAGGTCAGTTAAGCACTGTTACTCATAAATCAGCTGCTTCTTTATTATTAAGATACAATCATCCTATAATGTCCTGCCATTTTAAATAAACCTGTTCATTACCTAGAGCAGTATTTCTAAAAGTGTGATCTACAAAACATTAGCAGTCAATAGAATTCCCTATTCATGGGCCCCACATGCATAGCAATCCACTGGCAAGAACTGCTTGCTCCCTAAGCCCTGTGCATGCTGGCAGTACATGGCATGGGTTGAAAATCAGCTCAAACAGAACTGAGATCTTGCACAAGCACCCACTTTCTAATGATTCTCTGCAACCTGTTTGTTCACTCGTTTATTGATGTACATACAGGTTTAACAGGTCACTTGAAAGAGGTGTCAATTTACTGCTTTAAAAATTGTGGTGTAACTATTATTGCTAAAGTATTTCCATGATCTCCAGAGGTTGTAACCAGAAACTAAGTTTCTGACAAATGATTGAAGTCCCTGCCCTACCCACCTGCCTTCTCCCACCCTTGCTCCAGCCTACAG